TAAACATATATATCAAGGATAATATTGAAAATGTGACTGGTTTTATTCAACATTTATCATGTATAGAAATTTTCCTACGAGTCTTAACTCTAATTCAAATTTTTGCGATGTGAATAGATTTTCACTTATGTTCTTAATTTAACTTTTTAAATTCTTAATTACTATGTTATGGTATTTTAACCTATGAAGGTTATATATATTAGTCACATGTACAGACGAATACAGGAATTTGTAAATAAATGTAGGTTTGATCTATTAAAATGAATGGTTGATTAAGTATACATTTATTTTCCTCTGAATCAAAATCATATTTAAAGATAATAAAGTATTACTAATTATGTTAAAATAACGGACAATGAAAACGAAAATAATAACATTTAATCAAAAAGTATCATAATCAAGTACTTATTTAAATTGACATTCCAAAACATACAAATAATTAACAATAATTAACTATAAAAATATTTATATATATTTTATGTTTTTTTTATATATAAAATTGTTACTTTTAAATTAATTTATGTGTAATGTATTTATGCTGAATTTAAAGTTAATATACACATGGTTAGAATAAAAACAATTAAAATACCAACTATAATTACAATTATAAAACACAGCCCTTTAATAAAAAAAATTGAAGGAAAAATATAATTATATTATCTATTCAATTGTTTAGTCTATAAAATCTTAACTATTTAAATAGTATAATATATATATATATATATATACACGAGACTTGCCTTGAATCAGTACATTTAAGTTTATTACTATTTATTGAAAACTCAGTCTATTTGAACAAAGTAATGATGACAAGCTACTAATTAGTAATATCCTAAAAAAAATATTGGAGCATTTTTTCTGAATATAGACAACTTAAAAATTTGGAATATAATATAATCTTAATAGAAGTATTCGGTTTTGATCATATCAGTTTTATGTCTGTACTTCATATGCGTCAACAAGTGAGCTTTCTGTTTTGCTTTGTATGAGCACATGTAGCATTTGAATTGCGGCTCTTTACCGCACTCCCAGCGCTGATGGTTCAACAATGAGCTCTTCAATTTGTAATGACGGCCGCACCTCGTACAGCTTATTGCTAAGGAAAGCACACACAACACACATACCACATAGAGTTTCCAGAATAATAATAACAATTATAATAATAAAAATTGTTTGTAATCTAACCGGACCAAGTTAGTACATCCATGCCCATTATTAGTCAGGGGAATATTTTAAGATATATACAGTACTTCCGAATTCTTTTTACACAAATTCATGAATAAGACAATAAATTATATAGAATAAAGATAATAGCACAGCTAATACAACATTTAATTCTTAACAATAGTTTGAAAATAAAATTTACATAATTGTAGGGATTTTATTTAAATATAAATCTATTTATTTTTTTATATGCAAGTAATATGTACGATGATCATGTGGATGGCTTTTATTTATTTATTTTTTAAATAATCAATAATTAACATGCTAATGATTACTGCAATGACGTTTAAATATTTTATCTAATAACTATATGATTGATATATTTTAATTATTTTATTCTTATAAACTATTCAAAATGGTGCTTCCTCATTAAATAATAGTAAAAAAAAAAAAGAATATAAAATGATAAACAAAGCACATGATATAAAAAATACAAACCACCAAGATACTAATATAAGAGAAAATATATAATAATATAATTTAATATTTTAGATTTTACATGAAAAAGGTCATTTTGTAACCAACTTCTTTTTACAACCAATTATATATATATATATATTTAATTTAAATAAAAAAGTGTACACATAGGTTACTTGCAACTCGAATATTAACCAACATATTCTTTAAAATAAAATTGTATCAAAACTGATTTTTGATTTAAATTTAAGTAAATTAGTACATGAAAAGTTATGGTTTCATTGGACAATATAAATCAACTCCAAACCAATTGAACACTTTAGTCATTGATGGTTATCGAACTGTATAATAAATTACGAATATTATATGATTACAATACATAAATAAAAACACAATACAATAACATGTATCTGCTTATATTTAATTATATTCATAAATATAGTTAAAAATTATCATTAATATATATTTATTTATAAAATCTTGAGTTAATGAGATTTTTAAATAAGTTAAAAATATATATATGATCTTCATCCATTTTATTCATAATTTAATTAGTTAAAATAGGAAAAAATAAATTTATGAATAAAGCTTTAATATAAAAATATATTAGGTGACTCATGTAGTATAAATAGCTCCAACACCATAAGTATTGGATTTTGGAAAACTAGCCTAAGCAATTCCATTAAGTTTTTCTACAATATACCATTTATATGTGTTTTTTAGTTCAAAATATAATTCCTAATAAGCTTATTGAAATATTTTATATTATAAATGCCCATATTCCATAATCAATACACAATTAAATATTACTAGAAATAAAATGAAATAATTTTAAATTACTTTTTAGTTTGTAGTAATCGACTGAGTACCTATATTATTTAGAGCAGTTAATACACATTTTACTTAGATAAAAATTGCTTAATAAGACTATATTATACATTAAATATACTATTAATCATAAATACCAATAAAATATAGATTTTAATATATTTCAATTAAATTCTGTAAGCTTTAATTATAATAAGGTGATTATAATATTTCTTTAAAATTGTATTGTTATGGTATATTGTTTATTTTTTAACAAATGTATGATAGAGACTATTTTCAAGAAAATATACCTTCTATTGTTAATTATAACTTATGTATTATACAAAATTAATTATATTGGGGTATGAAAAATACTCGGAAAAATATTAGTAAAAAATATTATGTATTTAATGAAAAAAAAATTTGGTACAATGAAAAAATGTATACAGAATAACTATCATATTTATATTAAAAAAAAACCTCAAAAAAATAATATTAAATTATACAGTAGAAGAATTATACCAATTGGCAGGATTATAACTACTTATATTAAATAGCATAAATTATATTCATGGTTATTTACTTAAATATTATATTTACTATTGTATGGTAACAAACTATTTATTTGGAAATATTTATATTTACCTAACAATTTTTTTTTTTTTTTTTTGAAGCTAATGTATAATATATAATTATATATCTTATGTGTATACATGTTGTAATATATATTATACATAAAAAATGTAAAAATACATATTATATAACATGCATAGGTATATATAATAATTGTTACCTAAAATCATCTTCAAATAATATCTACAATTTTAATCCTATGCTTAAATGGGATCACATTTTTAAGTAATATTTCTTCATTGTTAAATAACTTCTCTAAATAATAGAATAGTTAATTTACTATAGATGTCAATAGATATTTTGTTTTCGATACTACAAATAATAAAAGAAGTTAAAATTTCTCTATCTAATATTAATAATGATCATAAGAAACAAACTTTGTGCTAGTCAAATGGTCAATGATAAACCTGTAATAAGATATCTAAGAAAGGCCAAAGATAAGAAATGTTTTATTATATCCTATATAGCAAGTGGTGTCAGAAAATATAGTTGCTCATTAAAAAAAAAAAAAAAAATAAAAATTAACATAGAATTCCATTTAACATATTATGATCTTGAATTATTAAATAATGATTCCTGTGATGGTTTTTTTTAATAGAGTTAACATAAGATAGAATGTACAAAGAAAAAAAATTCTACGAAACAAATTTACTTTTTACATGAAAAATGCTCCAATACAATAATTTAAAAATTAAAACAATAGATGAAAATAGCATTTTTGTTCAAAAATTTAAATTCATATTACAATTCAAGGTAAAATTTTACAAATCAATATGTATTCTAATATTATATCCTATAATTTGTCATTTACTTAACTAAATGTAAATTTAATAATTAAACAAACTGGTAGATATTATTTTTTAATATCCATCAATAGCAGTTAATAAGTACTTGGACTTTAATCACACTTAGTAGATCTGTTTGTACTACAATTTGAATTATAATCCTGTCTATATTTAAACAGAATATAAGATAAGAAATTCTAGTAATATGGTCCAATTCTCAAAGGAAATCTTCACAACATTATTAAAATAAATTGTCAGATTTTAATATGGTATACATACAATCGCGCTAGATAACCTTAAATTATCATTTGGTGAAGAATACAAGATATCATGTAATTATTAAAAAAAAACTTACTTATATTTACCTGTAATATCATTTTTTCACTAAAATACAATGATCTAATAAATAGTAAATACATTTAAGCAAAAATATACATTTTCAATAAATATCAAAGCAACCATGAAACCAAGCTTGGATACATGCAAATAAAATAAAGTCATAACATGCAAATTATAATTCAACAGTGTGTTAGTATAAATATTGTTGTTAATTAACTTTAAGAGTATAATGTAAAATTCTCACTAATACCAAAAAAGTGTATTTTGTCTGAATAAATCATTAACTTAAATTTAAATAATATTAAGTATAAAGTTGGAAAATAATTTGATAATAATTTATTTTAATACATAAGAGAAAATTAAAATTAAATTTATTTATTCTAGTTTGACAAAAATGTTGATTTATTTAACATAATAGAAATAGAATGTAACTATTCAAATGTTTTGTTAATTTTTTATATGGTTTTTATATTAGTTATTTTAAATCAATGTATATTACATAAAGAAATATTTGGACAATAATAATTTTTCTCTAACAATGATCTATAGATCATTAGATCATTAACAATAAAAAAAACTGTGTTCCATTTTTTTAAATGTATGTTAATGGGTACTGAAAATTAAAAATACAAATTTACATGTACCTCATCCACATAGTAAAAATTATTTTTTCCTAATCCCTTTATCATGCATATCTGATACACATTTAGTACTAAAATATATTTTTTTTTCAATTGAAAATTTTATTATTTAAGGTATGTTTATTTTTACAAATCATATAAATAAAAATCTTACCTTTGCAATCCATTGGTGTATTAACAGTATTTGTACTGTCTTGATTTGATGTTTCTAATTGCCATGAATTTGATTGTGGCGTTACTAAAACACAAGTAAAAATACCAAAAGATAAGTATAAAATACAACAAAAAGTTGTAATAAAATATTTTCGATTATTTTTATGAAACTTTAAAGTAGAGGTTTTCAAATTGTCCTTTACGGAACCCTTAGAGCTCCACAATTGTTTCTAAAGGACTTCTTTTGATTTACCATAGAAAATGTAAAAACGTAACAATTATTGAAGGTTATTTAAAACAACTAGCATATATATTTTTACAAGACTTTGTCAGTTCAAATATAATTTTTTTAATTTTATTTAATAAGACATACCTATTCTAGTTATTTCCTGGCCAGATATATTGTGTATAAATACAATATTATTATATGTATACTATCTCGTTTTGAGTTTCCTCCTTTTTAAATATATATCATGTATAATATTCTTTGTAGAAGACAGACAAATAAAACTCAATACTAAATATTTTTTGGGGCTCCACGAGAAAATATTATTTAAAAAAAGTATCTATAGCTGAAAAAGTTTTGGAATCGCTGGCTTAAGGAAATATCAATTAGTTAGTAAATTCAAATTTTCTTCTTTAAATATAATTTAAAATCATATAAAAGTATATTACTTTTAGTAAAACATAAATCAATATTGTTTAGAGTTTAATCTAATTTAATAATAAGCTTAAAAACCAAAAAAGTTAAATACTATTATTGAAATTTTAAAATATTTACCTGTATGATTGGTCTCTCTTTGTGACGTACCAGGCTGTGATAATTCATTTTCATCATATTCTTCTTCTTCTTCTTCTAATGTCATATCTTCAACACTATCATCGTATGACATTTCTGTCAAACACTCTTGTCGATCACCAGATATTGATTCTACCTTAGGTTTAACCATCTGGCTCTCAGCAGTTTTGATCACCTCTTTTTCTGGTGAACATGATTTGTGGTAAGGTTCTGTTTTTATTACTTTATTGACTGATGAAGGGATGTTATTATTATTAGTAGGCGATTTTTCTACTCCTTGAGGTTCTGATTCAGTCATACTATCATCACCATTATCTTGATGATGATCATCTGATCCATTTGTTCGTTGTAATTTCCGTTTCTTGCTAGTTGGTGATAAACTACCTTCTCTTGGCCTCGAATATGTACGTATAGTTTCATTTTGGCTCCAAATGGTAGGCGAATTAGAACTGACTGATGATAGAGAAGGTGGTTGTGATTTTCTGTGATCAAAACGTTTGGATACAGGATCTTCAAAATCTGAATTATCACGTACCCCAATACCAGCACTTTCTGTTAAACCTTTTATCTGAAGAGATTCAGCAGCTTTCAAAAAAGTACCAAGTTCTTCTTGAGAAATATTCACTTCACCTCGATACATATAATCCAACATTGATTTCAATTCTTGAAATTTAATGTCTTTTAAAATTAAGATTGGATGTTTTTCTTGGTGTTGACTTAATAAAACCTAAAACACAATAAAATTAAATATTAAAATAAATATAAATTATGTAAATGTTTTTGTATACTTAATTAACTAGTTTGTATAGTAAAGCTAATATAGAGGAAATGATTAACTGTCAAAAATATCAATAATATTGGATGTGGGCTGTTAACAATTTAACACAGGTTAAATCAAAATCTTTACTAATTACTATTTGGCATATAAATTTATATAATTATTTGTACTAAGTAAACTGAATCACATAAAAAATTCCAAATTTGGGATCAATGGATTTTAATTGACCACATTTTTTGAAGTATTCTTACTAATAACTAGTATTAATAATATTTCAGATAAACTTGAAATGTATTACCTTTATATAAAAGTTCATTTTGGTACAGACAGTTACATTGGATTAAATTCAAACAATTGTGTTTATGTATGAACATTCATTAAAGAATTTATTATGATAATTATTAATTAGCAACTAAGTTACTATAAAAAATGTAAATAAGTACCTATTTCATAGATATTTGTTTAATTTTGATATAAAACAATTTATTTAAATTCATTCAGAAGTTATTAAGAAATATATTAAACAAATATTAAAAGTACCTAAAAATAAATTTATATAAGCTACATTATTATTTAATTATAATAATTTGAAAGTTTTAGTCAAAAACAAATTATAGCCTGTTAAATATATATAACATCGTATTTGAATAATAACCATTACTTTTAGAAGATTGGCATGAAAAATTTTAACTAGGTGTTAAATAAAAATATTCAAAGAGAATGTACTGGCATAAATATGAAAGCAGAAATGGTGGAGGACTTTCAAGAAAGTGAAATCAGAAAGGTATGTCTAGAAGGGTAGGGAGGGCTTGCTAAAAATATTTTAGTGAGTAAAGTAAAAAAAAAGGAGAAAGGAAATTTATGCATTAAGAAATAAAAATCAATAGACATATAACCACCTCCCTATTTTTTTTTCTTGGTTAATTTTAGAGTTTTTATATTTTAAAATGACAAACATTTAAGTTTTCACTTATATTAATAAAAAAAAAAATTTTTTTGCAATATTTTAAATTGCATTAAGACTTAAGGCTTCAATAGGTACTTTAGGAGGTGAATCATATTCTTCAAAATATATATAATATGCATAAATGTATAATAATATTTGTTAATTTATAAAATCTAGGAGTCATCCTAAACAACACTGGGCAAAAAGGGTCAATGATGATCTAACAGGAAGTAATATTATCAAACACCTTGGATAGATATAAATTAAGAAATGTAATAGAGGCAGCAAAAGTCCTCCATGGACTGTAAAAGTTTAAGAATAAAAAAAAACTGAAACTAATCATCTGAAATTATGGTTTAAATTGAGATGAATATTCTAATTTTGTTATGAAATCAGAAAAAAGTAGGAAGATACAATCATAAATAAATATTGAAGTCATCTTTCATGTACTTAAGCAAGCACAGAAACACAATATTTTGAATAAACATAAAAATATACTATTTAGTAACCAAGTATACTGTATAAGTATATTTCTGATAAATATTTAATAAAATACGTAAATGAAAATGTGTTTACTCTCTATGCTTCCATACACATATTTTTTGTTTTTAAATAATTAGGCTTATTCAATTGTTGAAATTCAATTTTTCTTTAGTATTTAGTCTAAATAAAACTGTATCTGTAAATTTTATTTTGATACTATCAAATAATGTATACTTATTTTTAATGCATGCATTAAAAAACTAAATTAATATTAATAATTTTGAATACTATTTTAGTTGTAAGAATAAGTAGTAGACAAAAAAATTGTTCAAATGGTAGGTATTTTAAAAAGTAGATATATTCAATTATTTTAAGATTAATTTTCACTAATTAAAAATTTAAAATTGATACCACAGGTAATAGTTTTATTTAAAAAAAAAAAGGAAAATAATTTTTTTACGAGTAAGAATCTAAAATAAACTTGACAATATTAGATGAAATGAAGTCAAGCATAAAAGTACCTATTTATGAAAGAAATGGGTAAAATAAGAATTATGGTACCCTATTTTTCATTATAAATAATCTACTTACATATCTAATCCTATATTTTCTTTTTATAATGGTTGTCATAAGAATTGAATCAAAATAATACTGAAATAAACAGAATATCATCGGAAATATCTATTGTAAAGAAAAAGTATTATATATTACTAATTCTTTACTAATTCTTTTTTTTTCTTTATAGGAAATAAGAAAAGAAAAGTATTATATATTACTATTCGATGCATAGGTCCTGTATACAGAATATGAATGAAAACAAAAAATTATATTCATACTTCTTATAAAAATATATACACATAAATAAACACTCCTACATAACTAAATTGATTATTTTAATATAAATAGGTGTGCGAGAGAATATGTGAGTTAATTCGTCAACAGTCGTGATTAATAATATTATTCTCATCATCTATAGGCGAAAAAATATTCGTGAAGTGTAGAGAATTCGATTCACGATCGAGAAAAAAAAAAGAGAAATTTCCTTTGTCATTGTATTGTGCGCGAATAACGGGACAGGAAAACGGAAAAAAAAAAGTGAAGGGGTGTGGAACTGGTTTTCATACCGCCTGGTGAAAATCATGTGCGGATGCGGTACGCACGCGCGTAAGTAGGCCAAAACAAAACGGAAATGCCCTAAAAAAAAAATTAATACTATCGCCAGATCCTGGTTGTGATTTTTTTTTTTAACAAATGAAATATCGCCGGACGGGAAATGACACACATTTTTTTGAAAAATTTCTGTCGCATTTCGTCGTCAAATACAACGATATACTGTAAAGCATCGCTCACGAATGGTTTGATTCATTTAAAACGTCGTTATTAATTAATATTATTACTTACCCCCAAGTACGGACTGCATGCCGATAGGACGACTTTGTGGGCTTTTAGGTACCGGCCCTCAGCGGCCAGCGTGCAATCGACCAGGGTGCCGCTTTCCAGGAGGCTGTCGAACACCGAGATGAGTGTCCTCTGGTGATTGTTCCATCGCAGGCAAAACTGTTGGCTGACTGACATGACGAACGGTGGCGAAGGTTGTGAATGCGTACGTACAGCCTTTGCGTTGCGTTGTTCCGTTATCTCGGGCGCCGCCGGACACACATACACACACACACACACAACGCGGTCGGGATATTGGGAACAAACAACGGACACGCGAGAAACGAATAACGATGGGTAACGCGCGCGCGTGTGTGATTTACTGTTATATATTTATTAATCTTTCCCCGGATGGGACGAAAGCTGAAAGCGGAAAGGTGCACGTCCGTCGGAGGCGGCGGCGACGAGGATATTGTAGAGATCAACGCCTCATGGTTAGAAAAAAAATAAATAACGAACCGGGTGGTACTTACAACTGTTGGCGAAACGGATTCGATTGTTTTATCCACGGAGCTCGTGCGTATGCGAAAGAAACATTTATCTGTACCCTATCCTACATGTAGATATACGTAGAATGTGTGTGTGTGTGTGTGTGTATGTGTGTGTGCGTTTGATATACTAATATTATTATTTTACAATAATAACAGTATTATCACGACGACGACGACGACGACGACGACGATGAGGTGAGCGTGTGAGAAGAACGCGGCGCGCTGTTCGGACTCGATTGAAAAATTATGTTGCACTATTATCGTTTGTGTATATGTGTGTGCGCGCGCGCGCGCGTGTGAGTGTGATATTGTCGCGGAACGTTATCGTGTGTGCGGCCCGGACCCGTTTCGAAAACGCCCGGTGTGCGCGGACGGCGGCGAGACGAACGCGTTTCTTTTTCGACTACTACGCTACTACCACTACCACACTACAACAACTTCACCGCAACCACCGCCACCACCACCGCCGCCACTACCACCGCATCGGCAGATCTACTCGACGATATTATTTTCGTCCGTTTGGGCATCACAACACGTACACACCAAACATTGTACGCACACATGCACACACGCACACACACGTTAATGCGCGAATACAAATGCACACGCTCGTACACGCACTCGCATACACGTACGCATTCACGCACGCACGCACACACCTTAAAACCAATTCCGAACCCGTACGGATGGAGAGAACATTAAAATACGACGGGTCGTGAAGAGCGACGAAGACGGGGGGAAGGAGGGCTACGTGCGAGCGAGAGAGTGACGGACGGGGGAGAGGTGTTCGTGAAAAAGGCGGAGAGGAATGGAGGAGAAAGGAAGAAAAAAGAAAAAGAGGACCGAACACGACACGCGCGCGCGCGAACACCAGGATCGCTGCTCGCGCGCGCGCTGTCGCAACACGCCATAATGGATTCGTGGGACCAAACAGATGTTAGCCGCGCGGGAAAGTCCTCGATGTTGGCAACGGTTTCCGGACCGCGTTTCGATTTTCGTGCATACGATTGATAATATACAGCGCCGCGCATTGTTGATAATAATAGTAAAAACAATAATATTAATGTTGATAAATTCCGTTTGTCGCACGTTTAAGAGAAACGGCCTACTGCGACCTTTAGATTTTCATCATGATACAGTATGTTTATTGTCTGTGGACAGTCGATCGAAGACATTATCATTTCATTTACTATTCCGGTATATCTATCCAAGGTTTAAAGTAGCAAAACACGAGGGAATAATCCGTATCATTTTCAGCGTTCCATATAGTCCCATACGTATACGAGGAAATTAATTATAAATAGGTATATTATGAGGTATTATTAGTGAACAATTTCTTCCACAAACTAGTCATGTGCTGTAAACATTTATAAACTTGTAAATTACTTATTGTTCTAAGTAACAGATTGTAAATGTATTTTAATAAAATAAATAATAATTAGAATAACGTATATATTATTACCTACTGAATAATTTATTATTTATATTTAATATTAGTTTTGTTAGTAGAATACTGTTAGACACCAGGTGACATCAACTAAATTGCAAAGCCAATTTTTCAATTGTTTTATTGTGTATGATTTATAATCGCTGTGAGGGGACTGAGTTTTATTGCCTCTCCCCCCACTTTAGGTTAGGTTGTCTATATCTCTGAACAGAGGGCTTGTGGATTTTTTGCGTTTTGCTTTTATATGACAAACCCTGTCAAAACGTATTCATTGACAATTTTTATTATTACCTATGCTCATAGGCGATGATCGGGGGATGTTTAGGGGGGCTATGCTCTCCCCTAAAATTGTTGATCATTTTTCAAGGTAAACGCATTAATTTTATAATATATAATATATTGTAAAATATAAAATAAACGGTATAGGATACTTATTCCTCCGTCCAACGATTTTTATCAACCTACACCGAGCGATGTCACTATTGGATAACGGATTACCTATTATCGCAAAGACAAAAATAAAAATAGTCTATAGATAGATGATAAGGGGTACCTTTGCTACTCCGGAAATTTTTGTGGGGTAGCGAGGGTCTTTTTGCTGCCCCAAAAAAAGTTATAGATTTTAAAAATATATTCGAAGTTTATTATTCAAGTGTGTAGGAACATAGACTATATAGAAATCTATTATTGTGATTGTATCCAAAATAATTATATTTTGTGATAAGTCCATTACAGACGATAAGACGGTGTATAATACACTATACGTCATAGCAAGATTTATGAACAAGTGATTAGCCAGTTATAATATTAAACCTATAAAAAATTATTTTTTCACTTTCTAAAAATAAACTTTGCTACCCCGAAATTTGGACTTTAGTGACGCCAATATATAGATATACAAATGCTATAAATCTATAGCCGAAGTCGACGCTCACCACGGTTTAAACACACAAAATATAATGGAATATCCGAAGATAGGAATTACTCATATATTTAGTAGTTTTTTAGTTAGCAATTTAGAGTTATATATTGTAGCTCAGTGGTTCCCAATTGGTGGTCCGTGAGTTGATTTTAGGGGTTCCGTGGTTGGGTAGTACTGTAATGATATTATAATTCAATTTTAGTGCAATTATTAACTTTGCAATCGTTTAACATTTCTAGTATTTTTGGACTATAGTAACTCGATTATCGCAAAAAAGATGGATAATAAATTTTATATGAATAAATATCATCAACCTGACCCAAACAATACGTGGATAAGAAATCCATTTTCCTATGATATTGAAAAAATAAAAAATATTTTAAACAGTAAAAAACTAATCGATTTTTGATTAATTGTTCAAAATTATCAAAAGCAACTGGCCGAGAAAGATTTGATCTCCTTTTGCATAACATATAGATGTGAAAAACCTTTTTTACCTATTGTTACTGACGCTGATTTAAGAGTGGAAATATTAAGCCTGCAGCCGAATTTAGATGAAATTATGAACAAAAATGAAAGGTTTTACTTGTCTCATAAAGTTCGAAAATCAATGCAATAACTAATTTAAGTAACTCATAAATAAAATGTAAAAGGTAATTGCAATAAAGTTGTATGCAAAATCATGTGTTAAATCAAATAAATCTTATATAAAAATAGTTTTTTTTAGAAAATATGTGTGTATAATATTATGAAAAGGTTTGTCAAATTAAAATAAATCATACATTTTTTTTTTTCATTTTCATAATTAAACAAAATTGAAAAGTAAATATTTACAAAAAAAGTGGTCCCTAGATCAATTTAATTAATAGCTAGGGATCCGTGACTTCACACTAATTGGGAACCACTGTTGTAGGTAATATGGTAATTGGGGAGAGAGCAAAACTTATGCGACGCATTATGCAAAACAAGACTTAAGCCCTCAAAATTCAATCAATTCTTCACCTATGACTACGCTTCCTGCAGTCATTATATCATCATTATTATGCCGAATGAGTAGATCAGGAGCATACCCAGGAATTTTTTATAGGGGGGGGGGGCTAAATTTTTATTTTATTTGATAATGAGAAATTAAAATACATTATATACTATTATTATACTATTTACTATTAAATCGTTGAGTATGTAGATATTTCAATGGAAGGTCCGGACCCGACCCTCCTCCTTGGAGTAGATTAAGACTTATTTATTGACATTTATCGAACTAAAAAATTGATTTATATGCTTTGATATCATAAAGATGTAGATATAATTGGTGTGACACAATATTCTCATGATTAAAAATTATTTAATCAAAAATTTGTCAACAATTATATCATTACCTATAATATTAAATAATTATTTCTAACGCATCTAATTATTATTAATATTAGTATAATTGGTAGTAGGTATACAAGTATAAAATATAAAATATTTGTGAATGAATATAATTGTATACAGATTGATAATTACTGCAGTAACGCTGAACCCTATATCGAGGTCAGATTTTAACTTGACATATTTTAAAAATTTTAGAGGGGATTGATTCATAAGGTAAAAGGCAAAGTAAGAGAAAATAAATTACCAGCTACGTTAAAATTAATAACAAACTTACTTTTAATAATAACATTAAATAATTATGAAGATTTAGATGAAGTATCAATATTTTGATGGTTTTCTAACTCCTAAAACTGGAAAATACATTTCAATTTAGGAGTGCATCATGGTTTTCTACCCTTCTCATTTCAAACATTGAAATTACTGTAGTTTGATTTGTTCCTAGTATACGAGTATACTTAAGAATATTTTATCTTAATATATATGTACACTGAGCTGATGATTTAAAAAATTATAAATTTTATGGATGGTATGAAACACCAAAGGTTGTTTAGTAATTGTTTAATTTTTATTTTCTTTCAAATCATTAATAACATTTACAAACTTTTAATAACATTTACAAACTTTGTACAATCGATTTTCGACAGTAATATAATGATGAAATATATTTCCGTTTTCCGTTTAAAATGCGCTTTCAGGTTTTACCGTTAATGGCCGTCTTAGTTGGTTGGGAGTACAAAATATATGTAATTTAAATTTAAATTTTCTTTTAAAATTAAATATCTATACTCTTTAAATATAAACCAATAACCCCTCCTCCTCTAAATAGACTAAATTAAAAATTTTTTTTTAACAAACACTGTTTATAAAAATCTGTATTTTTAAACGTAATATTAATTAATAATACATATTTTAACTATATTATTAAATCTATATTTCTGTTTTTTTTGTTTTTGCCAATTCGTCCAGTATTTCGTCTGCGGTTATATTTACAACCCCACGATGAACAGCCATAGTGGCTAAGTACTCGTGTAGGTACTTATTAAATTTAGGTTTCGTGGCCCTACAGTCTCGTATGTTTCTTTTGTAACAAAGGAACATCTGATTCAGAAGTATCAACATTAACAACATCATCTAATTGTTTGACTTTTTTTGAAAAAAAACTTAATATTGAGCCAGTTTTTCTTGTAGCACTCATAATGAATTATGTTAATATTATTGTAGCTGAATGACAAACTATAACAATTATAACGTCTTTAACTTGGTGATTTAAACTTATTGAAATAAGTATTGTATAAATAAGTAATATAGTATTTATAATAATAAATATTGAAAAAAGGTCATGGGGGGGATATATCCTCTTCATCTCCTCTCGATCGACCATCTCTAGTCATCACAAATCTTAATTGTAATTTGACAACGGCAAGTTTTGAAAATGCTCTTTCATAAAAGCAACTTGTAATGAGAATGGTAAAAAAGAGTTTGTACAGATTTATAAAAATCTGGAAAAAATTATGAACGTCCACTAACTACTAACAAATCTAACCATTTTGAAATGTTTTTGTTCGGTGAATCGCGTATAGGTTGTTTCTGGTATATTTAAAAATAGGTAGTTTAATATCTGTATCAATATTATTATAATATATAATATATAATAATATAATAGATATATCTAAGTTTGTACATGTGCTCTCTAAAACAAGCGTTCACGTATAAGACATGTGCTTGCATACAATGGCGTAGCCAAGATTTTTAAATGGATTTTTAGAAATAAAGTTTTCTCTCTGAGTTTGCCTTTTACATACTCAAAGCATTTTTGTTTCAATATTAACACTTTTTTCCATGTTGACAACGTCATTAAATATTTGATAGTGACTCACCATAACCTTGCAAGATAACCCGTGATGTAATTGTGGGGGGCAAGGGGGAGGGGGCAAGTGTCCCCGTGACAATTTTTTGAGAGATAAGGGTATAATTTTGCCCCCCCCCCAGATAATCCAACAGTACAAATAGCACCTTTTATTAATAAACTCTTAAGGGTATTATTTAACAATATTAGTACCTAGTACCTGCTACCTACAATTTATGTTAATCTAAGCCACAAAATGAGTTAAAAGACTTATG